GAGGAGCTGGCTCTGGGCTTTCTGCCTCCTCCTGTGACACCATGGCCCAGAGCAGGAGGAACAGGAGGAGGTTACCTGGTGCCATCTCTTTTACATCGGGGGAGGGGAGTGGGGGAGAACTTCCCAGAAGGGTCTCCACAGAGCCCCTTTGTACTGACCTACAATGACTGAACCCATTGCCAGAGCAGTCCTGGGGCAACGGGGAGGAGGGAGCCAAACTTAGTTTGTCCCTGACGTCTGGGGAAGGCTTGCCATCCCCTCGTGTCTTAGCAAGGAGGGACACTGGGATGGCCGTTGAGTAGGCACCAGCCAGGCCTGCTGCACAAGCCGTGCTCTTAAGACCTGGCCTTGGTCAGGGGTGTCTGTTGCCAGGGACAGAGGCCTGTTCACCATGGCTTCACCAATACTGGTAATGGCCGGGGTCTATTGACCACGTTCTACATTCCAGGCCTTGGCATAAGGCTCCACACATCCATAATATCTCATTTAACCCCACAGTGTCCCAGGGAGGTTGGTTCTATGGCAAACCCATTCTATAGGTGAGGATCCTGGGGCCCAGAGGTTAAGGAACTGTCACAGAGAAAGAGATAGTCACCAGGAAGATCTCTGGTCAGAATATAATAGGCAGTTGCCAACCCTTTCTAGAATAATCAAAGCAAGGGACCTTCCCAACAAAAGTTCAGCACAGTCCCCAGCATAGTAAGTGCTCAGCAATGTTAGTCATTAATTGCAAAAGATCTTGACTTACAGGTTTTCGCCTTGACCATGGTGTGAAGGTGTGTACAGTCAGTGGGAACTGTACTTCAGATTTTGAACTATGGACCTTGTCCTTGCTGGCGGTATGTGCTATGCTGGGCAGTGGAGTGAGCCCAGCTCCCAGGCAGCCACGAGATCATGGACCCCACACATGGGCCATGTGGCTAAGCTGGGAGGTTTGGCAGGTCAGGTGGATTAAATGTATCTTTGACTTAATGACATTTTGGACTTACGTGGACTTATCCTAACAGAACCCCCATAAGCACAGGAGCACCTGTATTAGGAAGGGGACCAATGTCAGTGGGCTGAGTTTAGAGTTTTGGGAATTGAGCTGGAACGTGTTCCAGATGATCCTCTAGGATGCCCAGGGGGTCAGGGGTGTTGCAGCCAGAGGATGACAGGTCCTGCCTCTTCCTGTCCCCAGAGGCTTTCCTGATCCCCACCCCTTACTACGGAGCCATCACACAGCATGTCTATCTCTATGGCAACGTCCGACTGGCCTATGTCTATCTGGACAGTGAGGTGAGAGTTCCTGCGTCCCAGGTGGGCCGGGGCCTTCCCCTGGCCAGGGGTCTCCTGGGCCTGAATTGTGGGTGGGCACGGGAGGAAGTCCATGCCGAGGGCTCTGGAGCTGCTGTGGAAAGGGCTTGTAGCTCTCCATTGCCACATGGCTGCCTGTGCCTGGGTCCTGGAGGGTCCCCTGCTCTAGGCTCTAAGATTCCTGGGGTCCACACAGAAGACAAGAACCAGCCACCAAAATAAGGGTGATGGACAAGGGACAGAGACCTTTCCATGGAAGCCCTGGGATCCTACCAGAGGACCCCTGCGGGCCTCTGCTGGAAACCTGAGAGCCATAAGAGGTGTCCCTGCTGTGACTTGTGGATGGAGGACAGGAAGAGGAAGTGGCCCCACCTGTTTTCCAGGGACTGATCTGAGGCGATGGGGGGTAGGGACCTGAGAACTCAGGGTTGGGGGGTCCCTGAATTTGGCTGGAGACGTTGGTGGGTCTTCTTCCAGGTCACCGGGCAGGACACACGCCCCTTCCAGCTCACGGTGGAGAAGCTGGAGACGGCCCTGCAGGGAGCTAGATCTGAGGTCTGCAGATGAGTCCAACCAGGGCTGGGAGTGGGTGGGTCTGGACACAGCCTGGACCCCTCTTCCCGTGGCTCATCTCCTGAGAGCTGGTTGGTGGCCATGATGGGGACACATGGTAGTGTGGTAGCACAGAACCTGGAGCTTCTGCCCATTGGAACAAGACCCTCATGCCTCTGTGTAGAGAGTCAACCCGGGAGCTTTGTGGAACGTGCCCCCTCTCCCCACTGCCTCTGACTCGGCTTCTAGGGGTCAAGTATGGAGCTGGGGGACTGTGGGTTAGTGAGTCTCCTGAGAGGTGGAGGGGTGGTCCTGTTCACTTAGAGGGGATTGAGATGCAGAGGGCCCCCTTCTCTGGTGGCTCTTTTTTGTCTGCTTTTCAACCGTCTGTCTACTTGGGTGATTTTACCTTGGACCTTAGAGCGGTCATGTGTTCACTGTAGGAAAGTTGAAAGTTGCACCCGTGCCCTTGAGTTTTGCAACACAGGCCCTCTCCTGGCTCGTGGGCACATTCCCCTCTGTGCTCTGTGTTGGTTTCCTTTTCACAGTCAGCCTGATGCTGCAGATGTCATTCTGTGTCCTACTATGCTTCAGTGGGTCCTGACCATGTTCCCAGGACACTCACTTCCCTGGGAGCCACCAGGGATCAGCCCCATCTAGTGGGTCTGCCTGGCCTTGGGGAGGAGCTGAGGTCTCTGCCTGTGGATGGTTTCAGGGTGTCAAGGTCAAGGGCCTCATCCTCATCAACCCCCAGAATCCTCTGGGGGACATCTACTCCCCGGGAGAGCTGCAGGAGTTCCTGGGATTTGCCAAGAGGTGAGTCCCCCGCAGTAGGTACTGGGTCCATCCAGGCTCTGGGGTGGGCTCTGCTACAGGCCCTGCGCCCTCTCACCCCATCATGGGCTTCTACCTGCCTTGGCCTCTCCCTGGCAGCGCGGCAATATGAGGGTAGGGCTTTGCTGGATTCCATTTCTCTCTGTTTCATGTTATTTTTAAAATTAAGCTCTTTGTTGTTGTGGAGGTGCTAGGGATTGAACCCAGGGCCTTACACGTGCTAGGCAAGTGCTCCACCACTGAGCTTCATTCCAGCCCTTTTCAAATCTTTATTTTGAGACAGGGTCTGGCCAAGTTGCCCAGGTGGACCTTGAACTTGCCTCCTCCTGTCTCAGCCTCCTGGGTGCTGGGATTACGGGGGTTGCCACTGCACCCAGCGTCTCTTCCACGTGATAGTGATGGCTTCACTCACTGCACGGCCCAGCCCTTTGCTTGCTGTTTCTTTTAATCCTTATAACGACTCCATAAGAAATAGACACTTCATGATCCCAGCCCTGGGAGCCCTGGAGTGGACACGTCAAGAGTCGGGCCAGATTTGAATGTGGGTCCGTCTGCCTTGAGCCTCCTCCTTAACTGTTCCTCTCCAGGGAGGACCCGAGGTCAGGCTCTCCCTGACAGGGCTTCAAGCTCCTCTCCCCTTTGCTTTGTAAGGCTGCTTCCTGCTTGAGAAAATAGGCAAAAGGAGGGTGTTCCTGGGGAAAACGGGTCTGGACACCCTGGGTAGGCGGGTCCCTCTGGGCTGTGACACGCTGCTCCCTGGAGCACATGTGGCTGTAGCATGTGGCCCAGCTCTCCTCCCGCCCTCTGCTCGCGGCAGGCACTCGCTGCACGTGATCGTGGATGAAATCTACATGCTGTCCGTGTTCCAGGAGTCGCTCGAGTTCCGCAGCGTCCTGAGCCTGGAGAGGTGAGGCTGCTGGGCTCCGCTGACCGCCAGCCCCACTGGCCTCTCATGGCTGGACCCACAGGGTGTGACCTGGCCAGGGCCATGCTGCTCACACCTAGCTGACCCAATGGGTCCTCAGGCCCCAAGAAGGTGGTGGCTGGGCTGCATCCGTGGGTTTGAGATTGTTCTGTGGAGACCCTGAGACCTCCAACCCGGGGCCCTAGGACTCCAGAGGGCACATGGGAAACTGGCTGCTGGCCGTTCCTTCGTGTCCAGTGGAGCTGCGGTTCCTCCCCCCTCCCTCCATCCCTCCCTCCCTGCCTCCCTTCCTCCCTGCCTCCCTCCTTCTTCCTTCCTCTCATTCATGGAGCAAATAAGTGCTTTGGGCTGTTTAAATTCGTGGCCTTATCCATTAGATTGAGTCTGAGCACAGAATTTATAAACAAGATACCTTGGACACACTTGGACCAGATCGTCTGCAAAGTCTGTAATCTGACCCCGAGGCAGGATGACAGTTCCTGATGTTCCTACCGACTTTTCTGCCCTGCTGTGGCCTTTCTGTCACTTGTCTCTCAAAAGCTCTGTGAGGACGATGGCATGTGGAGTGTGACTCCCATTCATTTTATGCATCAGGAGAGTGAGACACAGAGAAAATAGATTTGCCCATGAGCCTTGGGTAGTCATGGGAACAATATCTATGGGGCGTCTCTCTGGGCCTGGCCCTGTGCTAGTGCTGGGGAACATCAGTGAACAACCAAGACCTTGTCCCTTCACATGTAGAACTTTGTAAACCCCAAACCCTAGCAGCACAACACCCAGGTAGTCATTTTGACCTCGGTGATGGCAAGTGCTAAATGGAGAATTGTGGGGAGCTCTGGGATGGCCTGCTGGGGTACCCCACTGGCTGGAGAGAGTTGGGAGGTTTTTGAGGAAGTGACACTTGAACTGTATTCTAGATCAGAAGTTGGCAAATTTCTCCTCTAAGGGGCCAGATGGTACATAAATTTAAGGCTTTACAGGCCTCATGGCCTCTCGCTCAACTCTGTCGTGCACATTCTGTCAGCCAGTGAGCGCGGCTCTGACCTGATGAAGTGTTATTTAGGAAAACAGACCCCAGGTAGATTTTCCTGCAGGCTGTTGTTTGCTAACCCTGCTCTAAAGGATGCACAGGAATTGGTGGTTCTGAGAGATGGAAACAGGGCCAGGACCCAGGACCAGATCCGTGCATCCATCTCCTCATTCGTTCGTGGAAATGGGCCTGGGCGCCCTGGTTCTGGCTGCCTCTGTTCCCACACTGTGCCCTCTGTAGGCTGCCGGACCCCCAGAGGACCCACGTACTGTGGGGCATGAGCAAGGTGAGTGTCTGGCTGGCTCGGGGAGTCAGAGGGATGGGAGGCAGACAGGTGGGTGGAATCAGCTCTCTCTTTGGAGGGTGGCCACGGCCTAGGCTGTCTCATCTTGCAGGACTTCGGGATGTCCGGGCTTCACGTTGGCACACTGTACACAGAAAACCAGGACGTGGCCACCGCCGTGGCTTCCCTCTGTCACTATCACGGCCTCAGTGGCCTGGTCCAGTACCAGGTGGCACAGCTGCTCTGGGACCGAGGTGACTGCCTGGGTTTGGTGCCCTGAAAGGGGGAGGGGGAAAGGTTGTGGTCTGTCTGGGACCCACCAGGGATCAGTGGCTGTATCCTGCTTGCAGGTTCAGAAAGCCAGGTCAGATGGCAAAGGGAACTGCCATGGCCACCATTTACTGAGCCCTGCAGGTGCTCTTGCTGTGTCTAATTTGTAACTCCCCAGGACCCTAGAAGCTCAAAATCTTATATTTTCTTCATCATGAGGAAAAGAAAGGCCACATACCCCACCTCCACAGGAACACCTAACATTGTTAAAAACACAGGCGACGTCACCGGCTGAGCAGGAGGCAGAGCAGCTGGAACTCTCATGCATTGCTGCTGGGAATTCAGATGGTTCAGCCACTTTGACAGCCATTTGCCAGTTTCTCATAAAAACACTGACCAAGTCCCCCAGCCATCCCACCTCTAGATAGTGCACACACATGCACGCAAAAACCCACGTGGAAACTGAGCTGGAAACAATCTGGATGTTCTTCCCTAAGTGTTTAGGTACAGACACCACCACATGGGCACATCCTCGCCATGAAGTGCTTCTGCAATAAGATCCCAACAACACAGATTCGTCCTGGAGGTATTAGGCTGGTGAAGGAAGCTAGTCTCAATGGATTACATACCATAACGCTCCACTTCCTGGGCATTTTGCAAAAGGCAAACTAGGGTGATGGAAGCAGATCGGGTTGTGGGGCAGAGGCCAACGTGGCTGTAAGTGGCATGAGGGTGTTTTCTGGAGTGAGGGAACCATTTCTAATCCTGCCTACAGTGGTAGAGGGGGCCTTACAGGGACCCCTGAATGCCTGCCCCTCCTGATCCTCCCTCCTCCTCACCCCATCAGCCAGCCTGAAGGGCTCCATGGTCTCAGCAGCTGTGACCTTCTGCTCTTGAGACTAGCAGGGAGAGAGGGCTGAGGGAAGACCTCTCTTTGGTTGCCCTTTCACTCAGACTGGATCAACCGCGTGTACCTGCCTGAAAACCTTGCCCGGCTCAAGGCTGCCCACACCTACGTCTCGGAGGAGCTCAGGGCCCTGGGGGTCCCCTTCCTGAGTCGTGGGGCAGGTTTCTTCATCTGGGTTGACCTGAGGAAGGTGAGCTGGGGTGCAGGCTGGCGGGGCGCAAGCCTTCTTCCAGCAGGTGAGAGGCCTGGGGGTCTCCTCTGTGTCCTGAGCCTCTACCCACCCCTTTCCAGTACCTGCGCAAGGCCACCTTTGAGGAGGAGATGCTGCTGTGGCGCCGTTTTCTGGACAATAAGGTGCTGCTGGTCTTTGGCAAGTTCTTTGAGTGTAAGGAGCCCGGCTGGTTCCGCGTGGTCTTCTCAGACAGGCCCCACCGGCTTCGCCTGGGTGAGCAGCCACCTGTCCCCGCCCCTCGCAAGGGTTTTCTGGTCCCCACCTGTGCAGCACCAGCGCTCACAGCCCTCACTTCTCCTTCTCAGGGATGCAGAGGGTCCGGCAGGTGCTTGAGAGCAACCCCAAGTGACAGAGGAAGCCCCTCCCTGGCAGGCCCGGGAGCCCAGGACCAGGGCAGATGGGCTGCTCAGTGTCTGGTCAGCAGCCACTGCCTCCCACCTGGACCACCTGGATCAGGGCTGCAAGACGGGCTGGACTTGCCCCGAGGACCTCTTTCCTGCCCGTCTGGGTGGCAGCAGGAGACTCCTTAAGCCGAGCTTCATCTTGGCCATTGCTGTCCCCTATTAAAGAACCTGGGACCCCCTAGACGTCTCTGTGTCTCTGTCGTGAGTCATTTGTGGAACAGGGGAGTGGAGAGGGCTCCTGGCCACCGCCCTCAGCTCCAGGAGGAGGGCAGAGCCCACAAGCCACCTGGACCTTCTTGGAGATGGCGTCTGCATGCTTCTTTGTTGCCAGGAAAACAAGCCAGAGGAGCAGTGCACACAGAGTACGCCAAGAAGGAAAAGGAAGTGACAACCTGCTAGGGGAAGGGGGCGAAGTCAGTCTGTTCAGATCTGAGCACATCAGGAACCTAGTAAGGTCTCATCTGGGGACCAGAGGACAGGACCCCAAGGTGGGAGTCAGGAGGGGCTTCTCAATGGGCATTGAAGTGGCCTCTCAGGATTGGGGACTGGAAAGTAGCTGGTTTCTCTGATGTCTCCAAAGCAGAGTAGCCCAGCAATGGCTATGGGGGAGTTTGGGGACTGGAACCCAGAACCGAGGCTGCCATGGCACTAGGCTGACCAAGGATGACCCGCCTGGCTAAGTGGACCCGAGGTTGCCTGTCCCACCTGCAGGTGTGCTTTAGTTGAGAGCCTAAATGTGCTTTCTGATCCTCAAGCTGTGTGCTGAGGAGCTTCTCAGCTGCCCCCACCCCTGCTGAGGAAAGCTGACTCAGCTGGGCACAGAGTGCTGGCCTGTCCTCCCTGCTACTCAGGAGGCTGAGGCAGGAGGATCTCCTGAGCCATGAGTTCAAGGTCAGACTAGGAAACAATGCAAGAGGCCACTTCAAAAGAGAAAGAAGAAAACGTGGACTCTGACTCTTAACTTCTTTAAGACAAAGAAGTGAAACCAGTACTTCTATTTTCTAATCCATGTTATTTTTTAGTTTCTTTTCTCCCTCTGTTTTGATCTGCCACTCAGTCACTCCTTCTTTTTTTTCCCTTTTTTTTCTTGGATTCTTGAGGTTTTGGGGCCCGGCCCTTGGGGGATTTCCTTGCTTCTTTTTTGCTTCCCGTTCTTGGGGGGTTGCCCCCTTTTTCTTCCTTTTTCCCAATTGGGGGCTTGGTTTTAAGGGGGTTGCCGGTTGGTTGATTTTTCCAGAGGTCCAGCCTCAGAGTCAGGTGCAGGCAGAGTTGGTTTGGTTTGCACGCTGTGCTCTTTCCAGGTACCAAACCAACTCTCAGCATCGGTTTATTTCTCTGTTCTCTCTTATTTATTTCCGGGATTTTAAATTATCTTCCTCTACTTTTTTGTAAATTATATATCCTGTTTCTTTTCCTTCTGGTTGTTAGCCTATATACTATAACACATATGTATAACTTCTAGTCTAAAATTGGTACCTTTACCCTTCTTCCAAAAACAAGAGCCTTAGAATACCAGTAATCTTTTGTAAACTATGATCCCTGGATATTTTTGTTGTCTATTTTGTTTTAGTAATTTTTTTAATTGTAGTTCGTCCATAATACCTTTATTTTATGTATTTATTTTATGTGGTGCTGAGCATCTTAACCAGCGCCTCACATGTGCTGGGCAGTCACTCTACTGCTGAGCCACAACCCTAGTCTCTTTTGTTGTCTATTTTAATTCTGCCTTTTAACTGAAAAATCTTGCTTTACATTGGCTTGGATTTGTCACATATTCATTTCATCCATCTAGGTCTTTTGTTTGGGGTCCCTTTCCTTCTGTCTGGTGAATGACACTTGATATCCTTTGGTGGGGCTCTTAGCTTTTGCTTCTCTGGTATGTCTATACTTTACCTATTTTTTTTTGCTTCATACTGGTAAAAGAAACAATCCAATAGGATAGAAATTATCAATATGTATGCTCTGCCACGAGACCAGCACACTAACTTCATACTAGAGGTTCCAAACATAGAAGTTAACTAATGGGATCAAAATAAAGACACATAAAACTCAATTTACCTTTTTCTTGCCCAGCTCAGAGACAGCTCCTCCTGGCTCATGCCTCCAGGCATCTGGCGGTAGTGAGGTTTACATAAGAGACCAGCAGGAGAGAGGAAGAAGCACGCCAGAGAGTGGGCTTTTATTGGGAACAAAAAAAAATTCAGGGGAAAATTCCATCCAAAGAAGGTCAAGGGGGACAGCATTCCAAGGTCAGGGTCAGTGATTGGTTTCCAGGTCAAAGGTCAGTCACACCCCCACATGGACAAGCCCTCACACCTGGGAAGGGTGGGGAAGGCTCTGACACAGCTGGTCTGAGCACCTCACACCCAGTCAGAGAGGTAGACCAATCAATCATGTGGGAGAACAGCTTCCCACAATATGCCCCAAACATGGGTGTGTATAATTATATAAAAAGACACTACTCCAAAGGGAGCATCAGATAGACCTCAGTATAAAAATTTGGGTGATTACAACACATCTCTATCACCATCAGATAGACCATGCAGACATAAACTCAGTAAAGACTCTTTAGACCTGAGAAATATTACAAATCAAATGGATTTAACAGACATCTATAGAACATTTCATCCAACAAGAACAGAATATACTTTCTTTTCAGTGATTCATGGAACATTCTGCAATATAGACCATATTCTAGTTTCCAAAAAAAATAGCAAATATGAAAAAAATTTCCTTGCATCTCATCGTATCACAATGGAATGACATTAGAAATCAACAAAACAGTCAGGTAGGATGGGGCATTACTGTAATCCCAGTGGTTAGGGAACTGAGGCAGAAGAATTGTGAGTTCAAAGCCAGCCTCAGCAAAAGAGAGGCCCTAAGCAACTCAATGAGACCCTGTCTCTAAATAAAATACAAAATAGGTAAGGCTCGGGATGTGTACCAAAAAAAAAAAAAGAAAGAAAGAAAAACAAAGAAAGAAATCAACAAAACAAAATCCTACGAAACTATATAACACAATGGAAATTGAACAATATGCCTGTTGAATGATGATGGGTAATAGAATGAATGAAAGGAGAAATTTAAAAATTCTTAGACTCAAATGAAAATAATGACAGAATATATCAGAACCTTGGGGACACTATTAAGGCGATTGTAAGGGGAAAGTTCATCCTATGAGTACCTACAGGAAAAATCAGAAAGATCCCTAATAAACGACCTAATGATGGAGCTCAAGTTCCTTGAAACAGAAGAATGAACCAATTCCAAAGCCAGTTGAAGGAATGATGTAATTAAGATCAGAGGTGAAACCAATGAACGTAATAAAATATACAAAGGATCAATGAAACAAAAAATTGGTGTTTTGAAAGGTAAAGATTATTAATAAGTCCCTAGTTTCTATTTTAGACAAAATAGAGAAGGCCCACATTAACAAGATTGTGATGTAAAAGGAGAAATCAATACATTCTCACAAAAATCCAGCATATCATTCAGGAATATTTTGAAAACTTACACTCTTATACATTATAAAAACCTCAAACAAATTGTGACATTTCTGACAAATATAATCTTCCAAAACTGAGTCCAGAGGACATGGAAAACAGAAAAAAAAAAAGGCTTTTTATTGGGTTGGAGGCCCCATTAAAAAAAAAAATTCTTCTAGCAAAGTAAAGGGAATCCCCGATGGACTCTCAGTGAATTCTACATACATTTAAAGAATAACATCAATACTCCTTAAATTATTCCATGAAAGAGAAATAAGTGGGATACTTCCAAATTCATTCTATGAAACCAATATTTACATTCACACCAAAACCACATAATGATACATCAGGGAAAGAAAACTACAGAAAAATACCCCTCATGGACTTAAAGCAAAAAATACTAATAAAATATTAGCAAATCATGTTCAACAATACTTTACCGCATAAAGATGTTTATCTTGTTCCATAAACACAAGGATAGTTTAATATAAACCAATAAGTGAACATAATTCATCACATAAATAGACTGAAGGACACATATTACTTGCCTTAGTCATCTCAATAGAAGAGGAGAAGGTCTTGACAAAATTCTGCACCCATTTATGATAAAAAAACAGGAAAAATTAGCAAGTGTAATAAACAAATTTAGTAAAGTAGCAAGTTCCTAAATTAACATACAAATAATGAATGGCCTTTCTGTACACCAATAACTATTCTGCTGAGAATGAAATTAGAAAAACAATTTCATTCACAATAGCCTCAAAAATTACCTAGAAATAAACCCAACCAAGGATGTAAACGATCTCTACAATAAAAACTATAGAACATTGAAGAAAGAAATTGAAGATGACTTCAGAAATGAAAAGACACCCCTTGTTCATAGGTAGACAGAATGAGTATCATAATTAAAGTAGGTCTACTGCCAAAAGCAATATGTAGATTCAATTAAATCCTCCTTCAAAATACCTATGATATTCTTGACAGAAATAAAAAAAATAGGAAGAATAAAAGACCCAGAATAGATAAAGCAATCCAGGCCAAACAGCAATGCTAGAGGTCTTGTGATACCGGACTCAAATTATTGTATAGAGTTATAGTAATTTAAAAAAAAGTGTATGGTATTGGGATAAAAAACAGACACAGAGACCAGTGGTACAGAATTGAAGACACCAAGACAATCCCACACATCTACATTCGTCTAATCCCTGACAAAGATACCAAAAACAGAGACTGGAGAAAAGATAGCCTATTAAACAAATGATGCTGGGAATACAGTTACCCATATGTAGGAGAATGGAGTTGAGCCTTGTGTCTCACCAGGCACAGCAATCATCCTAAAATGGATTGAAAACCTAGTAGTTAGAACAGAAATTATGCAACTCCTAGAAGAAAATATAGGGCTCACACCCCAGTGTACAGGCACAGAAGATGACTTTCTCAGTACATCCCTGAATCTCAAGAAATGATGCCAGGAATAAATAAATGGAATGGCATCAAATTTACAAACTTCTACACAACAAAGGAAACAGTTAGGAATGTGAAAAGACGACCTATATAATGGAGTAAAATCTTTGCTAGCTACGCTTCTGACAGAGGATTAATATCTAGAATATATAAAGAGCTCAAAAAACACCCCGAAGTCAAATAACACCATTAATGATTGGGTAGACAAAATAGACACTTCTGGAAAGAAGAAAT